TGAAATTTACGTATTCTTCAAATATACCTCCAAGATTTACGAATAATTGTCATCGTGGAGCTAGAAGTGCTTGACCGCGACCGATTTTCATTTGGTCTTTTTTTTTTTTTAAGAATAAAAGAGATTGCTTCCCCCCCCCCCCTCTGTTTTTTTTTTTTTTGTGCCAACTTCACACACAAGGGGGTTTAAACATTTTTTTAATCCATATTTCACCTCATCGCCTCATGGCAAGTGTTTAAATCTTTCATGTTAAAATAGACTTCATAATTCTAATATTATTTTATCTTATTCTTTTGGTTTTATTCAAAACAAAAATAATGTTAATTTTTTGAATAAAAGAATAACTGTAAATCATATAAAATTCCATTAAAATAATAAAAATTTCTTAAATGATATGATTTGTATATTTTATCATATTAAGTATGTCTTGTGTCTCATACCGTTCTTGAAGTATTTTCAGAATAATATATGATTTTTTAAATAAATTTTGTATCATACATACTTCATTCATTTAAAAATATAAAGCATTTTTAATTAAATTTTACCCTAATAAAATAATTATATATTTTTAAACTAACCCTATCTTTTATATTTATCCCTATTAAATACTCTACAATAAATATAAAGTCATTATAAATAAGAAAACTTAAAAAAAGACAATAATTACATCTTAAAAAATTAAAAATATCTTATATTTTTTAATATTTAACTTCTCAAAAAATACTTTATATTTTTAAATAAAAAAGTATATGTTAATAAATTTATATTGATTATGTATGTATTTAATTGGTATATGGACTCTGGTATGTGCTTTTTGTACTTTTGCTTTAAACAAAATAGAATTAAACTGTCTGTGGGTAAAGATGCTAATAAATTTCTTGACTTCTCAAGATTGAGATAGGACAATTTTTTTAAGGAAAAAAAAAGGACGTAGAAGATGACATATGACATCAAAATCACCATAAAAATTAAGATTTGGGCTTTTTTTGGTGAAGTGTAAAAGGCCAAAAAAAAAAGAATAATATACTCAAAAGAATGAGGCAGTGCGACTTTTTAAACCTTATCTTATCCAACAGAGATTATATAATTATCAATACGTCTTCCGCTGTTTTCCCCACCAACTACGATTGTGCAATCATCATGATGTGTTTTTACTTGTTAGGACCGCTATGGTTCCATTTCATGACATTGTTGAATTTTTTTTTTAAATTACATCTAAATCCTACAGACTGAGAATTTATTATTAAAATATTTCATAAAATTTATAAAATACTCTCTATTTTAAATCTTACACGCTTACAATTTGACTAAGAGTATTAACAATTGAACAACAGATATTTATAAATTATTATTTTTCTTTACAAGTTGCAAATGGTTATAATCTAATTATTAATGCCCTCAGTCAAGTTATAAATATACATAATTTAAAATTTGAGAGTATTTTATAAATTTTATAAAAATTTTAATAATAAAATTTCTTATGTAAAACCTAGATATAATTTTTCTTTTTTTTTTCCCGACAAAGCAAAATGTGTTTGGATAAAGTAGCTTGATCAGATTTTTTTCTAATAGAAAAATAATAACATCTTAAACATTCTTTTCATTTAAAAATATAAGATATTTTAATCGAATCTCACATTTCAATAAAGTAATTACTTACCTTCAAGTAACCCTATCTTTTTATATTTTTTTCTATTTAATATGGTGTTTCATCTAAAATAAATATAAAGTAATTTACTTTTAAGACAATGATTATATATTAAAAGATTAAAAATATCTTATATTTTTTAACATTTAATCCCTTGTATTTTTTGACAGAGGGAGTAGTTCAAAATAGATAACCAAAAGCTAAAAAAATAGAAATAAACATCAAAATTTCAATTTCAAATAATATTTCTTTGGATTATATTATCAATTATTAAATTAATGAAATCAAACCAACCAAATTCTCTCTATATAATTAACCCTTTTACAGGCTGAGGGAATTAGAAAACTAGGAATTCAGAGTGTTTGCTGCAAAAGGTACTTTTCTTTTTTCTTGACTTTCGATTCCTTTTATTTTCAAATTCCCTTTTTTTTTGTTGGGGGGAGGGGGGGAACGTTTCCGGCTGTGGAATTCAACGGTTTCTTTGTGATCAATTTGAAAGAAATTTTTTATGTTCTCATTAATTTACTTTTTTCATGTGGATTATTCTTCATATTATTGCGTGTGTGTGTGTGTACTTTCATAAGATGCTTGTGCATAAGGAAATTTTAATTTCAATCCTTACGACCCTTTCGTTATTTTATCAAAATCATTAATTTCAGAAACAAAGAAAAGGATTTGGGTGTACTTGTTTCAAATAGGGCTTGAGTTTTGTGATTTATAATCAAAAGTAATCAAATATCTCGTTATTTTTTAACAATGTTGCCTAGCAACATCAGATTTATTTAATTTAATGTGTCTTTATTTTATGCAAACGCACACGAATGCAAAACTATATGTTGTTGACTCTACATCCCAAACAATACTAGCATGATATATATATATATATATATATATGTAGATAACAAGTCATGTAACAATACTTATCATGCATGTTAGTTAAGGATATTTCTTTTTATTATATATATATATATATATATTGATGCAAAATTTTGTCCGACTTTAATTTGTAAAAAATGTGATTGTAGTTAATATTATATTAAATGACACTCACATGTTTATATGTTTGACATTATAAACTTTTTCGTTATAGTTTCTGATAGATGTAAAATCTTTTCTTGTCATTGTGATTATTTTTAATTTGTTGATTAGACTCAAATTCAAACTTAGTACGAGTTATGATATATCAGTATCACCGTATGATCACGATGGACTTTCAAAGCAATGCAAAAATACATGAAAAGAAATACAGTGAAAACTGGCAATATCTCATCACAAGAAGCAGAAGAATCAATCTTAAGAAGATTGTGCTTCAAGGATTTCTTTAATTTCGGTTTAGTTTGTTCATCTTGGCAAGACATATTTGCTAATGCTGTCACAAACCAGCAATGTTATCCTCTTGCTCAAATTCCATTACTTCTGCTATGCCCTAGCACTGGCAACAATAACAAGGTTCCTTGCTTCTTTGAGGCAGACCAAAAAAGAAGCTTGCGCTTTGAAAACAATATATACCCTAAAAATCATTTTGTTCTTGGCACAATTAATAGCTGGTTAATCATGGCACAAGCTACAAAAGCTGATTATTTTCTTTGGACCAACACAAATAATACTAAGAATTCGCTGATCAGCTTCTTCTTCTTCTTCAACCCTATGTCAAGGACCAAGGTTGTGTTACCATCAAGAATGAATGATTATGATGACATTTTGCCCAAAGGTCACAAAAATTGTGACATCCTCATCTCCATCCACATGATAATTGCTCTGATGACTCAGTTTTTGTGGAGTGTCTTACTTCTTCTTGTGGAATTGTTTTCTGCAAAATAACAGACAAGTCTTGGAGTTCAATCAGGAGAGAAACGCCATTTATAGACATACTCATCACAAGTAATAATTTACTATATGGTATAATTGGTATGATGACAGCTTTATAATCTCCCTGACTTGGACATGTCTGAGAACAATAATATTAATACTCCAAGCCAAATGGGTAAGATGTGTGAAGATGTTTTCTTGGCACACGATGTGATTTTTTATAATGTAACATTAGTTGCAAATAAAATAAGATCAGGAGGATTTAGGGTTTTCAAGTTGGAAAGAACCAGGAACGAAGGGGTATGTAAAGTGGGTGGAGGTTGAAGGCTTGAAAGATCGTTTGATTTTTCTTGACCACAAAAGCTGTAGGTTGATCTCAGCCATTGGATTGCAAGGAAATAAAAGTGTCAGAAGAAATTGCATTTATTTTGCTTTCAACAAGTACAACAAGGGTCATCATTGTTGGAATATTGACTTGGGAATGTTTTGCTTAACGGATAGAAGTTTTCATCATTTGGTTTAGCTGTGTCTATTCTACTAAATTGGACCAGTTGTTTGTGGCTTATGCCATAGACATTGGAAGATCATACATGCATATTTAATTAATTCGGTCATGATATCTATTTTTTTTACTTTTATGTAATGTGCATATTTGGCACATGGCGTGTGTGTGTGTTTTTGTCTTCATCATATTCTATGTGATGAGGGAGGGATTTGAATTACTAATACCAAATTTGAGCATTGTTAGACCTAATTAAAAGTATGTATTTCAAAGGTGTTTTTTGCATTCAAATATTATAAGAATGAGTCTTTTATGAAAGCAATTAAACTTATGGCCCATATATTCGCCAACAAGAATGGTTTGTATTTTAAATATAACACTGGCATGCGTATCTTACAAAGGGAAAATGCTGAGAAATACATGAACTTTTCATGATCATAGCTAAAGTCTATTAACATTGGTGGCATGTAGAAGTTAAATTCTATTGTTATTTTAAAAACACTAATCATCTACATGATGATCTAGCTATTCCAGCGAGGAACAGAGTGCGTGGTCTAAATGACCCTTTAAGAATCTCCTCTTAGCTCTCTTTATAATGCCTCTTCTGAATCTCCTAGAGAAGTTTTTCCATGTCTAGTTCGTACAGCCTTAACTTCATCCTTTGCTTGATTTTCTTCTCCCAAATCATCCCATGTTTTCCTACCCCTTTCATGCCACCATTTACTTAAAAAGTACGCAAAACGGAAGTTGGTCGAAATGAATTGAAATTTGCCTAAAACTAATTTCATTTACCTTTACAAAACAGACTTTTTTTATGTATTTTTCTGCCATGCAAACTAAACCTAATAGTAGGCATATAATAATAAGTGCCAAAATCCATTTTTCAAAATGCCTTCTGACTTATAAGCTGGATTCCAAACAGAGCAAGCTCCAAAGCTCGATCGTATCCTCGCAATGGGCTTTTTTTTTTTTTTTTTAATCAATATATTATACAATAACACCGTGCCTGTGACCCTTTTATGTGGATTTACAACACTAGCCTTTACCAAGAAGGGGGGAAACAACCCAACATTTTATATTCTGGAGGGAACATGACATTATTGTGAGAACTACACAAACCCAAAAACAAGTTCAAAAACCAGCAATATTACATTTTTTTTTTTTTTTGCCAGGTAAGGATAAGCTTCAGATTGTCACAGGCATGATTGTATGATCGTTGTAGCCAGCAAGCACCAACCTTTTTTATTTAATTTACATTCCATTATTGTCTCTCACTATTCTACAGTACAGTCCAAAGAGACAAGAAACAAGGAAAGAGAAGTAGAGGCCCTATCATAGTGAAGTGGGACCTAGCTCTTTGTCCCTAGTGAAAACGCAATGTAATATTATTAAACCTAAGCCTAATGATGGTCCCACTCCATCCAATTAGTCTCACTCCCAACTCGAGGAATGCTGTTGAGTCTGGTTAACTTATCAACCTTGAAGTTGGCCCCACACATGACACCTTCACTGTCAATCCTTGGCATTGCCTTCACCTTATTCATTGGATGCTCAAAGCTCATCAGTCCTCCTTCACTGTGAAACATGCACCCTGCAATGAAATTGAAAACCACCACCATCAGCTCTATCCACTCTCTGTTACTTCTCTTAAACAAATTAAAACGAAAAGTATCTGATTTGAGAGGAAGACTACTTAAGGTGATCAACTTGAGTGCATATATCAGATCAAATGAAGTAAGAACAAACATATAACTATAACCAGGCACATCATAAATCATAAATGGCTGAAATAGTACCTGTTGGGAAGGGAGCAAAGGATTTGGCACATCCCTCTTTTATGACTTCAAGATCATCAGAAATGACCACGGACCCATCTGCTGCAATTCCCCAGTACAGCTTCACCCCACCATCTGAACCCTGAAACCAAGCTTTACCTCTTCAATTTCATATACCCAATATGTTTTCATCAGGGATTACCACAGACCAGTATGGATGTGGTCACAAATTGAATTAACAGGTTTTGCTCTGGAAAATATTGTGTATGCCAGACATACCAGTGCAGCGAAAACGCTTCCAACCTTGCTGTCATAGACAACAAAGGCAAAGCTGCCATCAAGATCCTTCACCACTTGATCTGCAGGGTAAGGTCCCCTGTCTCTAAGAGTCTTGTAAGCTTCAATCACAAACATGGCCTCGTTGGTGCCCTTTGTCAACCCATATTGCTTGTTCAGAACGTTTAAATTGTTCAAGCTCCCCAGGAAGAGACAGTATATGTCTTCATGCCCGCAGAACAACCTGCGAAAGGGAAAATTCCAAGGTGGGGTTTCTTCGTTCAAAAACACAGAACCACAAGCAAAACACAAAGTGGGTTTTCTGTTTTCTGCAACCTAGCTGATTAAAAAACAAGGAACAGGAAAGCAACGATCTTTGCTTGATAGAAGAAGATCAGAAGAGACCAAATGGGTTTGTTTGTTTGTTAAAAATGACGAAGAATTTACCTCTGATGAACGGAGAATGGTCGATCAGGACGGACATAGGCAAGGACGGCAGCTTCACCAAAGCTCATAGAACAAGTGTTGTGAGGATGGCGAGAAAGAAACTCTGTGAGAGTCTCCTCAGGAAGCTTAGGCTTCTTAGACCCTTTGTACGATGCAGGACTGTGAAGCTCCTCCGGTGGATGAGCAAACGCCTTGTGAAAAATAGCCAACATTCTGAATCTCTGATCCTTTCAAACTCTCCAAATAATTAAAGAAAGAAAGAAATGAGATAGGGAATACAGGAATTTTCATGGAGGGTTGAAGTGGGTATTTATAATGGAATGATCTTGCGCTAATCCATGGCTGACTCTGGGTTGGTTCATATTATTGTGGGCTTGGAGTGGATGGATAAGATTTCTCAAATTCCAACGAGTTGGTGTGAACTTTATCTTTTTATCAGATGAGATTCAGAGACTGTTTCGTTTGTTTGTTTCTCGGAGCTAATGAGGTTGTGTGTCCCACATTGTCACTGTCATTAGCTCCTCGATTCCACTCTCTTTCGTGATTACCATGGGAGGCAGGCGATACCAGGTTGAGTTGAACTTCCCAAGTTTGGAGGCCAAAGTGTTGGATTCAAGTAAGCCGAGTCCCGAGTGACTGAAATATGACAAGGACTAGAAATTTCTAAATCGCACCAGTCATCGAACTTAATATTCTCTTACTATTAATTTAATATTTATTTTAGTTTTAAATAGTATGATTTTGAGGTGTATTCATTGGTCATCCATTGTGTTAAATATTAGTTACGTGCTGAAGTGCTTGTCCGCGATGGATTTTTACTTGGTCAAATTTTCTGGAAGAAAAGAGATTTGTTCGATCATTGCCAGAGAACTTAATCAAAACAAAAGGTGGATAGAGATTCTTTCCTTGCAAGGGCAAGCACAGTGCTTGAATTGTTCTGATGATAGTCTGGGTTTAATTAAACTTCTTATTTTTGTGTATGAGTTTTTTTTTTTTTTAATTGAAGATAATCGTGCTTGAAGCATGATCGAGCGTTATAGGCAATCCTTTCAACGAAAATTTGAATTTAAATTTAAATTTACTGTATTGTAAGTAACTTGCTCGTTGGTTTTTAATTTAACTTTTAGTTAAAATGTACCCTTAATCTTTTAATTTTATATAAAATTTTGATTTGATCCCTTAATTTTATAAAATCCTTAACTTTATATAAGTTTACTATGTAATTAATTTTAAATAATTATTTTTATTCTAATCATTTTTATTTTATAAAATTAAACTGAATATGTCAATATTTAATAATATTTTATTAATATTTAAAATTTTTATGTAAGAACTTTTTGTTCATCAAACTAATGATATTATGATTAAAGGGTTAAAAAATATTATATAAAATTAAAAGATTAAAATAAAATCTCTCCTAAAATTAAAATACTAAAGGTAGACTTCAACCTAAACTTTTTATATACTCTAAGCTTTCTTTTTCTCTCGCTGAATTGCATTGTTCATGAATCGTAAATAACGTGGCTTTGCTATAATGTGTTTATCAAAAAAAAAAATGCGATATTAGATACTATATTATAAATTTGCATATGTGGGGATTTTAAATTTACATGACTTTTATCCGATAAATATCTTTTAAAAAATAAATTCTCTCCGTCAACCCATGAATATTCATTTCATGCCTTTTTTTTTGTGCTCTTGCTTTAAATAGAATTGGACCACATATGGGTGAAGGGGCTACATATCATCTTTCGCGTTGAGACTTGCTAAGAGAGACGTATTTAGCACTTGAAAGCGACACGTAACATATTATATTAAAATCCTTAATGAATTAGGTATAGAACCCGAGGTTTGGGCCAAGGGGATGCAAAAGTCAAAAATATCAACAATCATGAATTTTCACGAGGAATATTAAAAAAAATGTGACTTTAGACTTATCCAATGGAGATAAAGATTCCTCCTCACACAGTTACAAATCAACCTGTTCATCCCATTGTTTTATCTCACAAACTGTGGGTCCTGCAATCATGCTGTGTTTTGATTTCTAAATTAATTTCGGAATAAAATTTCAAACCTTTATTTTGGTTTTTTATTTATCATCGCATCTTCATTTTTGCTCATTAGAAAGATGCTATTTTTCTTCCAGTTTCATGAGTCCAATAACATAATTGTTACACACTCATAAATAATAAATCCAAACAAAAGAGCTTAATAGAATTGGAGTGGGAGTTCATAATTGCACTTTCTCTTTGGAAAAACTAGGCCCTCGTATCATGAGTCTGAAGCCACTCTTATTGTATGGGTGCTATACCTCTTTTACAGAAAAATATCTCGGGCAAGTTTTGCTTGCCTTTAACTTTTTTTTCTTATTGCTTTTGTGATGGGTGGGCGCCACGTCTCATGATTACAAGCCTCGTTGGATATGAACCATCCATATTCTAATTATGGGAGAAATGTGGGCTCCGGTGATTAAAATATCGGACCAGACCCAATCAATTTGGTCAACGTGTAAAAATTATTTTGAAAGCTAGGCCATTTTGAACCATCAATCAAATTGAAAATCAGATCAAGTAGATAATTGTATCTGATTTTAAAAAAAAATTTATCAAATTTTTTTAAAAAATGACCAATTTTTTTAATTATTTAATATTATATCATATCATATAATTTATTAAGTCATATTAAATTTAAAATATTTAATTTTATTTTTAAGTTAAGTAGTAATTTCATATTTATTTTTTATATTTAAATTATTATATATGTATATAATTTTTAATTTAATTGTTACATCACCGGTTTAATCATTGGTCCATCTCTATGAAATTATGCAAATCATGAACTGCTAACCTTTTTGATTCAGTATTCTATCTGATTCTAAAAACATCGATGCACTCAATTGACATTAGCTAATCATAAATTTATGCGTATGGTTTTTGATTTGGTAAAGGATCATTTGTTGAAAGTCTATTTATTAAAAGTCATATTTGTATTTGGATATATGTTTTTAAAAATTAATTTAGTAAATTAAAAATTGTTTGGATGCTATATAATAAAAAGCATATTGAAAAGTATAATTATTAAAAAGAACATAGTTTTATGATATGCAATTTTTTATTTAAAACTTGTTTTTGAAAAAATAAAAATAATTTATAATTTGATATGATGAATAATTTATATAATAAAAATGTGTAAATAATATAAATTTTGAAATATTAAAAATATATAAAATATAAATTATATATGTATACATAACTTGCATCTGTATGAATATTAAAAAATTTTACCAGAAAAAATTATTATAATGATTATCCTTAGTACTTAAAGTGCATTTTAAGTAACCATTGTTTTTTTTTTTTTTAACTACAAATTGAATGATTGCCCTTGCCAATTTATCACTCTGACACAAAATTAGAGACAAAGCTCAGTTACCGCTAAATTATTTTGATGGTAATATGGGAATCAAATTTTTAAACGTCCATTTGCAAATGGCAAAAGCAACTCTGATGAGAATTGAGAAAAAGGACATTTATGTGGATTTAGGATGGACTTTTTAAATAGATTTTTTGAGGAAAATTTAAATTCAAACAACCTTTTAGTTTAAATCACATTTTAAAAGGATTTTTGCTTTGTTGAATGCAAAATTCTCAGTGCCTATTTGGGCAATCCACATCTGGCACTTGGAAAAAATATTCTAGCATTTGAAATGCACATAGTTATTTGGATACCAAATGAATAGAAAAATATACTTTAAAAAGTAGTTACTAATGTTACTTGAAAGTGGATTTTCAAAAGCAATTCCAAGTTAGATTTCAAATACAAATAAAGGTTGGGAGCATTTGACAAGAAGAATAAATAAGTACTTATTTTTATAATTGACCATATTACCCTTTTTTTAATATTTCTAATATATTATATTTATATAATAAAATTTACAAATTATTATAAATCAATATTATTTTTAATCATTGTATATTCAAAAATAAAAATCATCCTTAATACAAACAACTTTCAATTTATGAAACTACCTTTTAAATAATTTATCCAAACATAAATTTTATTATGATAAATAAATTTCACTAAATTAACTTTATCAAATGAATATTTAACAAATTAATTTGTATCCAACCGAAAACCAACCACACACTTAATGTGTTTGGTTGGAAGCTGGAGAGGAAAGGGAAGAAGGGATTATAATTACTTAGATTTAAAAAAGAAAAGAAAAGCTATGTTAAAAAAATTTAATCAATTTACCTTCATCTTATAACTTATAGATTTTTTATTAAAATTCCATAACTATCTTATCTAATTTTTAAAATAAATTTATTAGAAACTCACTCTCCTCTAGAACCCTCCAATCAAAATTAGATTTTTTTATAAAAAAATTAGGTAAATTAAGTCTCAAGAGCTTATTAGAATTAGAATATATTTCTAGACTTAAAGAGCACTTATAAAAATACTTATAAATCATCTGTCAAAAAAGTCCTCATTTTAGTATTAAAAGTTAAATTAATAATTTTATAAGTTACAAATCAAATCCTTAAAACTTATCCTGCGACACCAACTTCTATATTTTTATTTTGCAAAGGAGGGTTAGTTACATATACACCATTGTACAAGTTGGCCAAAAGTAATGGGGCTCGCAAGGCCTAATGAATTGATAGAGGGGGACCCAAGGGTCTGATGAAGAAAATCAAGCTCACAAAACATGACCATCCTCTTCAAAAAATAAAAAACACACAAAAAGATTATGATCTTTCATGAAATAGGGAGAATTACGTGCAAGGACTTCCCAAAATAATTATTCATAAATAAATATAATATGAAATTATTTATTATTAAAATGGTAATAGCAACTTGGTTTTTTTCATGAATAGTGATTTATTGTTAGTTTTTATCAGAAAGTTTTTGTATAAGATTCTCCCGATGTAGAAGTCTAGTTTTATCATCTGCTATATAAAACCAAAATACAATTTCCGCAACTCTCATAAGATTACTAACAATGATTAAATTTAGTGAAAGGAGCTAACCACTTACAACGTCATAAATTAAAATTTAAACCTTATCAAAAGATGTGCTCATGTTTAATACTCAACAATACTTTATGAAATTATCTATGATAAGAAGATATTTGTAAGTAATTACTTTTAGAAGGTTTGAACAATAAATAAAAACAAAACTTGATGAGGTGTATAGAGCCAGCACATGACTTAAAAAAACATATTTGTATAGTGTTAAAATTTTGAGGAAGACGTTTGTCTTGTATTTTATTTCAAGACAAACAAAGTTCTACTAATCTCCTCAATTGAGGATTCACGCCTTACGGCTTGTTTGGTTTCTGTTTTTATTTTTTATTTTTAAAAATTGTTTTGAAATA